TAAGTTTTTATTAAAAAAATTAAACTTTTTAATAAAAACACAGGCAAATTTGCCTGTGTTACAATTTAAGGGATAGCAATTTTCCAGGCAAATTTGCCTGGAATTGTTTACAGTTTAAGGGATAGGGTTGTTGATTATTGAAAGCTTAGGGGATGCTGAAGTATTCTTATAAGTTGAAGCAAGATCATCATCAGAGACATATAGTGCCTCCAAATACTTTTCGAGGTACAATATAAAATCTGCATATTTGTTGGGGTCTATTGCAACCCTACTTGCAATTTCTCCTAATAGTCAATAAATATGCATAAACTGAATTCGAGAGTTACCTTTACCAAATAATTTATGTGATATTAAAATTCCTGGGGTTTGTGATTGTGATTGACTATAGAAATTAACATAATCCTTTACAAGTTCTAACTTGAGCTGGTCTTTCTGCCAATGTTTTGAAAAGTGCACAAGATCAAGATAAGCAAAAGATAGATAAACAGCAGCTACAAGAGAATGATGACAAACTATTCTGGCAAATTCAAGATTATAGCAGCTACAAGAAAGTACATAACTATCATAGTAGACCAAATGTATAATGTTAGGCCTTTTATAATGTGATAATTTGAAACAACGCACTTCTTTATTATTTGTTGTTTTCTTGTATGCATATGTGTCCTTTGTGTTCTATTTAGACTCAAATTTTTTCTAAGCATACCATGTCAAACAACTTGCGGCTTGATTTTTGATAAGGTTTGGAAAAGTTAAGAGAATAGGATAAACAAGCTTTTTATAGGCAAAAATATGCTCAGCCTCTTTACAGAGATCGAGTGCATATTCAAAGGCTTCTAAAAATTCTATAAGCCTCGTTTTACAATTAACGAAATCTTTTAACAGGCTGTTTATTGATTCTTCTCTTTGTGTAGACAGCATGTTGATGAAAAAACAATCCTTTAAATATGCTAGGGCCCACCATTCATGCCACCGACTAAGAACCTCCAAGTACGACTTTGCCTTGGCATAGTTATTATTTTTCATTATACAATTTTACAAGTCCTTAAACTCGGTTTGATTAATATAATAGTTTAAGCATTTTATAAGTTCTGTGTGAAACATGTTAAATTTTTTTCCAAGTTTAGAGGTCATATTTAATCTTATATTCTTTAACATATGCCAGATGCAAAGACCATGCTTAGTGCCATGTTTATTAGTAAGTACAAAGTGAATAGCATTAGATATAGCCAGATCATTGTCTGTAAGAATAGTGTTGGGTGTGGTGCCAAAAATACGAATAAAGAATTTGAAGAGCTATACAAAACTTGAGAACGTTTCGTTCTGAAGCAATATACTAGCAGCACAGTAAAGAGACCATTATTTGTGATACCTGTGAACATGTTAAAAGGCATTAAGAAATAATTGCTCTTATATGTGTTATCGTAAACAATTGTGTCATGAAAATGTATATATTGCTGCTTTTGTGATACATATACCCAAAGTACAATCATCGGCAAAAGTAACGCCCGATTTTGATCTCGTGATCGATGATCATATAAATACGTAATGTTTACCCCTTATAGCAATTTGTGGGGAAAATCTTTTTTTTTTTTATTTTGACTTCCTACGAAATACCTGCAAAAAAAAAAAAGTTAATATAAGCATAACTGGCACTTTAATAACGGACGAAGAAAAAGGAAAAATCCTAGCTTATATTGAATATATGAGCACCCAGAAGGTTGCTCGGGAAATGGGGCGTGACCCCACCACAATCTGAAGGTTTCTCGCCAAGTACCAGAGAACCAAGGAAATAGCTAATTTGCCAAGGTCTGGAAGACCCCGTGCCCTCAAACAACGAAAAAAAAATGCTCTAGTGAAAGTGGCCCTGAAAACAAGACGCAAGCCTTTGCGTGTCCTAGTCAACGATTTAAAGCTTGAGTGCAGTTTGAGAACTGCTTCTCGAGCTCTTCGAAGCTTTGGTGTTCGGTTTTGTGTAGCAGCAAGGAAGCCATTCCTTATGGACAAAAACATAAAGGAAAGGTTTGAATGGTATCAAAAATACCTACCATATAGCACCTATGATTGGTGGCACATAATATTTTCTGATGAAACGTCTGTTGAAATTGGTAAACAATCATGCCAAATTAGAGTGTGGCACCTTGAAGGTGAAAGGTATAAAAATGAGTGCTTAACCCTGAGTTTTAAGAGTGGTAGACATTCAGTAATGGTGTGGGGTTGTTTTATTAGCGAGATCAAGAGTCCCCTTGTTTTTTTTGATGAGTATAAACGACCAAAACAAAAAATCAATAAAAAAATATATACTAAAGTCCTGAAAGACCATTTAGTATCATTTTATAAAAGAGCCAAAGCATCTCGTTCGTTAGTAGGTGCAAAAATTATGTTTCAACAAGATAATGTACCGATACATAAAGTAGCCGATTGGCTTAAAGAAAAAAAATCCTTAAATTGAACTGGCCTGCAAGATCTCCTGACCTCAATTTGATTGAAAACGTTTGGAAGGTATTGACGGATAATATTCAGAGCCAACAAGATTTTCCAAGAGAAGTAGACGACCTCAAAATCGCCCTAATCGAAGAGTGGTCGAAATTAGAGAAGTCGGTTTTTTTGGAGTTTGTAGACTCAGTTCCAACAAGAATTGAAGCAGTATTTGATACAAAGGGTGGGCATTGCAAATATTGATCAGGCAAAAAAAAAAATTTTTTTATGTATATACTATAAACATGAAAAAAATCATGCATTTTTTTTAAATTCGTTTAATAAAAAAATCAGGCGTTACTTTTGCCGATGACTGTACATATACATATATATATACATTTGTACCTTAACAGTTAATAACTATGTAGCATCTAAACAAAATATGTAATATGTATTTAAACATAGTTCTAGATAATTGAAATAACAATTTCACTATTTAACATCTTCACACTATATTACACATTAATAAATCAATTTAAAATGCTACAAATATATCAAACAATAACAAGCAAATATTACTCCTATCCTTAACTTTTTAATAAAGACAAAAGCATGCATTTCACATAAGCAATACAAAAGCACAATCGATATATACATGCATTTCACATAAGCTATTAACATTAGTATATACAAAAGCACAATCAATATACAAAAGCACAATCGATATACAAAAGAATAATTAATATACAAAAGCATATTTGATTTACAATCAATAAACAATCTATATATGCAATGCATACAGTAATCACATCCTTATCCTCCAATCCCATATACTTACTCTTTCTCTTTATTTGAGCAAGTTGCAATATTATAGCCCAGTTGCTTAAAGAATTTACAAGTGTATTGCCTGTGTTTCTTACTACCTTTCTCTTGTGTAGTTGTTATGATGTCTTTATCATAACTTGCTGACTTTGGCCTTCCTCTAGTGACTACCTTTCAGAGATTCGCAATTGATATCACATTACTTTCTACATTTTCAGTAGTGTCTTGGTCTGTTGTAACTTCTTCAACTAATTCATCTTCACTAGCACAAATCTTTTTTAGATAGAATTCAATTAAGCTAATAAATTTATGATCACAATGCAATATACACTTATTTATAGCAGTATGAGCAAGATCCAAATTTTTCCATAAAAAAGAACTTCATAAACAAACTCTTCATTCATAGTGTCCCCAGTTTCATTATCAATAATAGTTGTAACCACGTAAATTGACACTCATTACTTTCTTGAATGATATTTACATCATCAGCTAATTCATTAAATCGTTCACCAGAATATGAATATTCTTTTGCTACATCTAGTTGTTTGTCTCTTGGGATCCATCGTGCCACTATTAACATTAAACTAAACCATGCCTTCTCCGTAACATTCAAGAAATAATAAAAATGATAACAAACATGATCTTTTCTTTGTTGCAAAAGACAAGTACAACCATATAAACTATCTGCAAGAAGAAAGATGAAGTGATTAATCCTATAACTTGTGACTCTCGACACTTTCCAGATCTCCTCAATTGTATTCCATTCTAAATGATCAAAAAGATACTTAGCAGACAGATAAACTATATCGAACTCAATATCTATATCTTTGCTTTAAGAAGTTTCATAAACAGTAAGTAATTCTACTTCCTCAATTGTGGAAAGACTAGCAGTATAATACAAACTTTCTTTATTTGCTCTATTAAAAAATAGAAGACATTTGGCCTCAAATAATATTTTACTAAAGATTTTATAAAGTGAAAAACAGTGACAACACTTGCTGTGGAAGAAATACTCTGTCTTCATTTTTCAAATTGCTTTCACTTTTGTTCTTCTTTATTTCTTTCCATCAATACTTTACCTAGATTACATAATGATATATTACTATTCTCCAACACTCACTTAATATATGCATTTTGACTTTCGACAAAAGACTTAAATTGAATCCCAAGTACAAGTGTCATCATAGTGAAGAAACATGCCCAGCAATATCGATATTTATAAAGATAGCATTCAAGGTATGGTTTTGCATTAGGGAAGTTTAAAAGTTGGTTTCAATACTGCAATAGTATTCAAAGCCATGTAACATATCAGCATTCTTGCATTGCCAAAACTTGCTATAAAATTCATCAAATGAATCTCTCAACTTGCTACACAACACCTTTTTTATATTTTCTTTAACATGCCAAATACAAAAATGGTGTTGTGTTCCTGAATACTCCAAAGCTATTGCTCGTTCTATGCAGGATCAGAATCAGTTACAAAAATATAGTGATATTTATTACCAGTGGCTTTTTTGGTCATTTGAAGAATCCACTGGTATGTTTTAGCAATCTCATTACTGACAAAAGCTTGAGCGACAATGCGAGATTGCATATTATCATCCTGCACTACAAATAAAGAAATAGTTATGTTATACCTGTGGTACTAGCAGTGTTATCATGCCCAATTGCTTCACCAAATTCACACCATAATAAAATTTGTTTTGAACTCATCCAGAACAAATTTGTCAAGATATTAGTTTCTTCTTTCTATGTAATTTCAACAAACCAACAGGAATCTTTTTGTTGTTTTGATAACAACTGTCTGTAAAACTGTGATACATCACTTCTAACTACACTACTTGACAGCTAACATTGTTGTATTTTGGCATAGAGATCCTTGAAAAATATAGGATGGGAGGGAAACTTCTCTTTTAAGATACACCAAACCATAGTTGCACCAAGATGGTATTTAGTAACAAAAAATTCTACTTCTTTCCGCATCTCTTCTGTAAACTGTTTTTTTTTTCAAAACATATTGCTTCAGGAAATAAATCATGATTGTGTTCATCATTAAAAGTGGTAACAAATACAAGGAAATTGAGGTTGTCTTTTAATGGGCGTGAAAGATTAATATGCCATAGGCATGATATTCAAGCTGAAGTGCTTTGCTTCCTAGTACTTTTAGGTTTGAATGAACCAGAATGCTTGCAGAGAATAGTTTGTTTGCAAACCACCTTATCACTTTTAGCCATATCTATCATTTTTACTTGCCAAGTTATACATTAAACCCCTTATATTCTGCAAATTGATGTACACAAAGTTCAGCTTTATCAAAAGTGTTAAAAGAATTACCTTCTTTTAAAGGTACAGGTTCTGGATTATTGTGTATATCATTTAAGTTCTCATTACAATAAATAATTTCCTCAAAATATGTTGTCAAATCGACATCATCTTCTTCATTAAAATCTTTAATAATTACTATATGAATTTTTTTTTTTTTTGCCATTAAAACTGTAAAGAAGAGAAAGTCTGAAATTGTAAAAATTGATAAAAAAAAAAAAAAAACTGATTTGTAAGAACAAGAAAGCATAAGTAATAATGAATTCAAGTATAAAAGTTTATTTAAAAACCTGACAAGTGAAATTTCAACAGTCTTAAACCTGACCGACTGTTCAAACCTATAATATTCTTAATAGTGCATTATCCAAAAAGCTGTTTCACTTTGGAATTAACCTAAAAGAAATACTACAAAAGTGCATTAGTTTTATAATGCAGTTAAGCAAAGCAATGTGTAACAAGTTTAT